TGCAAGGGCCCTGCCGATGTACGAGTCAAAGTTCTTATCCCTACAGACGAATCTGGTACCTGTTTGCCATCTCGGCTAGATAGGCCGTGGGGGGGGGGCTGAAGGGAACCCAGTACCCAGGACTACGTGGTAAGCCCGTAAACCACCTCCGCCTCCTCCCCGCAAAAATCAGACAAATAATGTGTAATCCATTTTCAATAGCTCAACAGCAGTGCACATACCGGCATCTCCATGGCTTGAATAGCAGTGAGTGTGCTCCATCCGAAGCTTGTGGCCTGGATCGTATGAGTGAAAAACTGACGCACATACCAATGGAGCTTTCATTGTGAAGAAACGCAGCCACTGTTTTTCGATCTAGAAAAGGTAACTACTAGTTGTAGATTACTTCTAATGCCGGTTCCATCGTCTTCCCTCGCAATCGGAAGTGAGAGGAGACGACGGATAGTTAACAAAAGGCAGGGAAGAAGTGACAGAGAGCCACTAATTAAGAAAGGGGGTATTTGTGCAGGTTAGGAGATCCATGCTGCGGCGATATGCAGCACGGACACAGTATGTCTCAGCTAACGAAAAGGGCTTATTGGAGTACTGTCGCGCGAAATGAATCAGCTCCTGTAACCATAAGCGATATTCCCCCTCGGGTAGAAAGATCCCTCAGTTACCTTCCGCTCTCTATCGTTATCTCTGCCGACGTGTTTCCCGCTCGCGCTGCTTTCCAGCCCTACTCTTCTGGTGCACATTCTAGGCGAATGTAGTGCAACGTAGACTATAAACGATAGTCGCCCGTCATCTATCCCTTCTCCCAGCACATTTCTTTGCGGGAAAACGGGGAAACAAGGAAGAAGGGTTGCAAGAGGCAGAAAGACTAGGTGTAGCGGTAGGAAACGGTAGAGAGGGATAACTCTGGGATAACTTCCTCTCCAGGCGGAAGATAGCATACAGCCGTTGGTACAAATGCCGCGCACGCGAAGCCCTTTTGGTCTCGCTGTGGCAACTCAGATCTACTGCTCAACACCCGGCTAAACTTTTCACCAAAAAACGTGAGGAAATGTGATGAGCACGGCTAAGGACTGAAGCCTTGAAGGCTAGCTTTACACAACATCTAAACCAAGGCTCAATGGATTCATCGTGGTCACGCTGCGTTGAGTCAAT